CAGTGAGGCTTGTGGTGCACTTCGGAAGAGTCTGCCTCGCCCGGCTCCTTGATATCGCCCCCGGTATCTTCGCAGCTCCATGGTAAAGCTTCCCGGTTCTTGCGCCTGGCATGCCCCCTCCTTTCTCCCGGCTCTGTAACAGGGATGTCTTCGTACCCCAGGAGGTGTCCCTTGTTCTGTCCCGTCTGGGATGTCCCAGGGATCAGCGCGGGACGCGCCGGTCCCGCCGCAGCGGCCGATACGGCCGCGGAAGAACCGTAGGGATTGGGGAATGGAACAAGAGAATTCCCCCCATCTATGCCTTTATTCCATGTTAAGGTCTCGTGAGTGATATTTAATCTTTGGGGGTTCTACTCTATTGTATTTGCATGCATTAACTGCTTGCCAGCATGCTCTATTATTGTTGGATTTTAAGGCTAATAGTAGATTGGCCCACTTCCTCTGATAAAATAGTTGCTTTTTATTTTGTGTAAGCTCTTGATAGAGATTTCTTTGAGTATGAAAAGTGATAAAATTCCCTAGGTCGTTAGAGGAACGGAATTCACTGTATGCTGCTCTTACTGCTCTTTTGGCCTGCAAACAATCTATGTCAAACCAGGACAAAAAATGATACATCTTCGGCAAGATGGGTTTGGCTAGAGAGCCTATTAAATCAATTATTTGATCAAAAAGGAGGATAGAGTCATTTGGGGATGTTGCGGATGCATTTGTTCTCCCTTTACCCTTCTCTTTGTTGACAATTTTGCAATTGGCTCTAGAATAGAAAGTGATCACTTACCCTTAGAACTCTCTTTAAGTGGTAACAAAGATCCAAGCCTGAACAACTTCATGGTCCCACAGCCTAACTCTCATTCTGTGTTGAGGAAAATAAGATGATCCCCTAATGTGGAGGAGAATCTAACCGCTCTACTTGCTTCTAATGCTGCAGTTAACTTGAAATTGTTATTAACATCCGCAAAGTCCCGCCCCTCAAAGTTCCTTCTCTCACACACACACCCCTCAGTGACCAAGTCTCAAGCCACCTTCTGGAATGGGGAGCTGGCAAAGTCCCCCAGGCATGAGCCGTGGGTCTTCTCCCTTTCTCCACCCTACCTCCCTGGGTTGGTGAAGTCCCTCACCTCAGAGGTCCTTCTCTCTCTCTTGCCCCTCGGTGAGCAGCCCTGGCGACCCAGTGAGCACAACATCGAGCGACGGAGTCCGGCAAAGGCAGAGTCGTGGCAGCGCGGCAGAGCCAGCAGGACGTGAGCCGGAGCTGCAGCTGGCGCGGAGCCGCGCACCAGGATGGGCCTGCCAGAAGAAGCTGCTGGACTGAAAAAGACCTGTTCCAAGGCGCCAGGAGGTGGAACGCCAACACCCAAAACCCGCTTGAAGGAGCCAGATAACAACAAGCCCTGCTGCCTGGGAGCCGGTAGGCAGTCACTTCCCTATATAATGTGGCCCTAGATAGGAAATTGAAATTGGATGTAAACCGTTCAGAGACCCTTCAGGGTTAGGGCGGTATATAAACTGAATGTTAAATAAATAAATAAATAAACCTTCTTCTGAGGCGGGGAGCTGGCAAAGTCTCCTGGGCATGGATTGTGGGCCTTCTGCCCTTTTGCACCCTGCCTCCCTGGGTTGGTGAAGTCTCTCCCCTCAGACTTCCTTCTCTCTCTCTCACCCCTCAGCAACCAAGTCTCAAACCACCTTCTGGTGTGGGGAACTGGCAGAGTCCCCTGGAGCGGCAGGTGCCGGGGGAGTGAATACACCACCACCCCGCATCCCCAGGCTCCGTCCTCCTCTCGGCCAGCTGCTCCTCTCCACCTACCTTTGCTTTCCATGTTCCTCTCTGGAGCTGCCTGAAGCCGAGGTTCCCGCTGGACTGCCAGAGCCTGAAGGGCAGCAAGGCTCCGAAGGGGGAAGCGGAGGGACGGGGTGAGACGGACGAGGCTTTCCCAGCAAGAAGTGTCCAGAGGTGGAGCTGCCCAAGTCCCGGCTGGGAGCGACCCTGCTCAGCTTCGGAAGAGGGCAGGGCAGGGCAGGGCAGGGCAGGGCTTGGCTGGCTTTGCTAAAAAGACTGGGGGAGCAAGACACCACTGCCCCCAAGAGAGGAAGCCTCTGGCCAGTCCCGCAGGGGGAGCCAGCCTCCCCTCCTCTGCCCCACCAGCTGGGGCACCTCAACTCCTCCCACTCACTCCAGCAAGTGCAGTCCTTGGTTCTCTGTCCCTTTCGATGGCTGCTAGCTTGGAGAAATAAAGATCTGTGGGGAGGGGGGGGGGCGCCACAAGCTAGCCTCACCTAGTGCACAAAAAAACTTTGGGCCGGCCCTGCCTGCAGCAGCCATCTTCTCACATTTCTGTCACTTGTGGCAGCCATTTTGTACTTGTATCCAACACCCTTTATCAAAATTCCAAAGTTGCCCAGGTGCTCAAAAAGGCTGAGAACCCCTGAGATAGATGAACCATGGGTTGGATTCTGCCAGCATTTCTGCTTGTGAGAAAGGAAGGGAAGGTCCCCTTTTACCACTATAAAAATTGTGCACGTGGAGGATTGGGCACGTGTGTACAAAAGTCATGTGAGATAGACATGAAAATAAGGAGGAGAACTGGGCAAAGTTGACTACAAAAACTGCCTTGATCCAACTGTGTGTAATTCCACTGTTCTGGCAGCTACTTATATTGTTGATTTGTTTCCATGAAAAATTTGAAACGGTCCTTTTAGGTCTAAAACAGGGGATCTGAGGGACCACCTCCCTTATGAGCCTAGCCCAAGTTGAAGTACTGGTCCCCTGCTATGCATGCAAATATTAACATGGGTGAGACTAGCAGGCAGTGGACTATGCAGCTGGTGGACTATGGAGTTCCTTGCCTCATGAGGCTGATCATTCAACCATTGCTCTGGCCTTCTGGAGACACATAGCAACTACTTTTTTTCTGGAGGTTGTCCGATGTTTATCCCTTCTGCTGTGATCCTTTTAAAACCAATGTACTGGGTTTTGTTGGACTACTTTTTTACAATGCCTAATTGCTGTTTTCACAAATGTTTCTGTGCTCGGCTTCCTTTATGCTAGTTTCATTTCATTTTGTTTGTTTCATTTTCATTTGTAGAAAATCTTGAATACTAGTTTACTGTGCAATCCTAAGTAGAGTTACACCATCTAAGTCAATTCAAGGCAATGGCCTAAGAAGGGATTAACTAGAATCGTACCATTAGTGACAGAAAGGTGCGGTTGAATTTTTCTGAATAAATAAATGTTAGGACAAAATCTGAAAACTGGATATTCCCAGAACAGAACATGCTAAACCACACATAGACATTCCCAATGGCAGTTAGGAGTTTGAGTGTTGGCTTGTAAAATGCAAGGTGAAATTTACTAGCGGCTGTAAGTATACTGCTAGTGTTCTCTCTGAGTTGGATCCAATGTCTACCTTCCTTTCAGTTAAGAAGTTTCCAGCAGAAGCAGCATTTCTCTGAGAGAAGGAGACTCCCTCTTTTTGGAGAAGTTCCTTCACCTATGGGTTCCAACCCCCATAAGAAAGTTGATGTGAGAGAATCGAAGTAGAAAGATTATCTTAGGTAAAGGTGACTTTTGATTACACAACATTTTAATGTAAGTTTTTTATTTTTTAAATTCCCATTATATTTTTGCCTCAAGGGCTCAAAGTAGCATGTGAAAGGTAGAAGAAGAAGAGAAGAAAAAGATATTGAATTTATACCCACCCTTCAATACCCAGAGGAGTCTCAGAGCAGCTTACAAACTCCTTTCCCTTCCCCTCCCCACAACAGACACCCTGTGAGGTAGGTGGGGCTGAGAGAGTTTGGACAGAAACTGCTCTTTTTTCTAGAACAGCTGTGCCAGAACTATGGCTTGCCCAAGGTCATCCAGTAGGTACAAGTGGAGGAGTGGGGAATCAAACCTGGTTCTCCCAGATTAGAGTCCATGCACTTAACCACTACACCAAAACTGGCTCTCCTACACCAAACTGGCATCACAAACCATCATTACGATAACAAACAGTTGAGGTGCTATGAATTATTGTAAAAACGATGCAATCCCCCCCCCTAGAACCTAATCATAAAACTAGTAAAGACCAAGATACATAAAACATAAATCTGTCTCTAACAATGCCAACAGGAGAACTTTCTGCCATTGGAAGTAGTTTCCTTGTAAGAAGTCTTTGTGAGAAGTTCCATGTAAAAAGTTCCACTAGTGGAAATCTCACTTCACTGATGGAAAACTCCTTATGCTGACACTGACAAAAAGTTTATCCATCAGCTAAGCAGAGTCAATCAACAAAGTTCATGGGATGAGACTAAGATCTTTTCTAAACACTTTTACAGGTTTCAGAATTTAGAGGGCTTGTTCTCCCCAGTCTCAGAATTCAGTTTGGCAGAGAGTATTCCAAAGACCAATCTAAAATGTATTACTTAAAAAACATACCAAAATACCATCCCCAATCTAAAGAGATGAAAAATCAGTTTATACAATCAGTTTATACAATCATATAATGTGTATGGGGCTGCATCAATTCAGGATACAGATGAAGGACTGGTTCATCATTATTCTTGAATGTTCCACCCAGATATGTTTCTACCATGATTCTAGATCACAATGAATACTTCTATTTTGATGTGTTTACCTATGAAGAGGTTTGAAGGAAGACAGAGTGGGGTTGAAATGGAGAAGATGCCCCCAAATACAGTAAAGCTTATGGATTTTGCATATGTTCCTGTGAGGCCCAAATTCCCCCATTCACCACAACCAACAGTTACTAATGTGGAAGCCAAACATCAGAAAAACAAAACAGATAGAATCCTACCACTTTTTTTTTCTGCTTGATCTCACTTGACTCCCTTCCTCACTGCAGTTCCTGTCCTGCACAACTTTTGCACATGTAGGATCCACAGTTCCCATCATGTGACCTTGAAAATGGTCAAAAGGGGGCCGGTAATCACTCTTTCACAGATTAACAAACTAGCAGGATCCAACTAATGAGGTAGGCCATAACTAGTGCACTGATTTAATGTGGATTGCCCTCTTTCAGTTTCAAAAAGCCAACTTTTTGAATGCTCATGAAGAACAGTAATTTCCTGAAAACTTTGTTAACAGCTATCTTCACTTCTTTGTTTCTCAGGCTGTATATGAGGGGGTTAAGCATTGGAGTCAGGATAGTATAGGAAATAGAAAAGGTTTTCTTGATATGTCTTAGGTTTCTGGACCTTGGTAGCAGATAGACAAGCATCAAGGTTCCATAATACAAGGCAACAACAGAAAGATGAGAAGAACAAGTGGAGAAGGCCTTTTGCCTCCCAGTGGTGGAGGGAATTCTGAGGATAGCGAGTATAATGAAACCATAAGATGATATGGTGAGGACAAAGGGAGGGAGCGTGAAAATGCAAGCAAATACAAAGGACGAGAGTTCAACTAAATATGTGCTACTGCATGAGATATATCTTATGTCAGGAACAACGTCACAAAAAAAGTGATCAATTTCATTAGGGCCACAGAATGATAATTGTGATATATTCAAAGTCAAGCTTGTGCTGACCAAAATTCCACTGACCCAAGACACAACTGCTAGCTGGAAGCTCAACCTCGCATTCATGATAGTAGCATAATGGAGTGGTTTACATATTGCCAAATACCCAGGGGTCTTGTTGTAGAAAAAGAGCTGCCGGAGCTCATTAGCATAACTCATTAGCATAACTTATTTGCATATGCCACGCCCCCTGACATCACCGGAAGTGACAGAAGGCCACACCCCCTGACATCACCGGAAGTGTGTCAGAAGGCCTGGCTACTTACCCTCCTGCTTCATCCTCATTCCCAAACGGAATGAGGATCAAAGCAGAGGGCGGGGTAAAGAAGGGGGCGGGGCTTCACCACGTGACAGCCCCGCCCCCTAGAGGTTCTCTTCCGGAGCTCCGTACCTGAGAGCTCCCCCCCGACTAGAGCCCTGCAAATACCTGTCACACAACATCATGGAGAGGAGGTAGCATTCAGTACCTCCAAGGCAAGCATAGATGAAAAATTGTATGAGGCAGGCTTTGACAGATATACTCCTTTCCCCTGTCAAGAGGCTTGACAAGATCTTAGGCACAATGGTAGAGCTGCAGCAGATTTCCAGGAAGGAGAGATTTCCCAGGAAGAAGTACATAGGGGTGTGGAGGTGTTTATCAGTCACAACTAGCACGACAATGAGGAGGTTTCCAGCCATGGTTATCAGGTAGATCACAAAGAACAGCAGGAAGAGAAGAACTTGCAAATTTGGGAGATCTCCAAATCCAAGGAGTATGAATTCAGAAACAGCTGATTGATTCTGCCACATTTTCTTTGCAATATACAGCACCTAAAAAAAGTTTAAAAAATAAACACACACACATACAATTCATGGTGTCAGATTTTGAAGCAAAGCATAAAGAGCCCCATGTGTAATGATTTATTCAAACTTTTCTCAGCCACATTGAGCCATTATGATAAATGGCATAAATCATGGCTCATAACAGTGGTTACAGCAAGTCCTGGTTACAGGTGACACCAAAAGGGAGGCAGTCCAATAAATCGGGGTTTCAATCTAGGACTTCTTACTTTAGCTTATTAATCACATTTTGTACTCATTTTGTTTTTCTCTGTTTTGATTATTGGATTTGTCCAGAATTTGGTGTTAATGGATATTGCTGGATTGCATTGACTATTGTGTCTACAAAGTTGGCTAGTGACAATAGATTAACAGTCAGAAAATCCTACATGGGGTGTAAAGATTTTCCCCCCTTTTGAATACAGGAGCACATAGGCTGAATCAGACCAGACTTGCTGTCTAAGACTGTCAGTGGTTCTCCGTGGTCTCAGGCAGAGGTCTTTCACACACTTGATAGATGGAGATACTGGCTATTGAACGTGGATCCTCTACATGCCAAACAGATGCTCTACCACCCCTCTACAATTTTAATCCAAGCATTTTCAATATACTGAACCCCTGGTGCTCTTCTTATCAAATTTACAACTTGGCAATAAATATTGACCTGTCAACTGCACAATGAAATAATCAGATCTCATTACGAAGAGCAAATCTACTTAATCCTCAAACTTTGAACAGTATACATAAGTATTGGTGCTTCTTTTCTTTGCTGAAGTCCATCTGTAAATTAAACATGTTCAGCAGCTGCAGTTCCATCCTTCAACTTCAAAGATCCTGAGAAATTCTATTTGTAGCATTGCAACTAAGACCCTGCTTTTTTATCACCTGTCTAGGAAGCCATAAAGCCAATATATTACTTTCAAGCTCAGCAAACTAAAACTACAATAGCAATTGCAAGGAAATGTGTGTGTAACAGCCTCTGAGCTATGTTAGCTTGCCAGCTTCTCTAATACCTGAGTTTAACCCTAAGACATGAGGATGGCAGACCTCATGCTCATTGTATTCCAGAAGGTAATGGAGGGGAAAAGAAGATATTTCTGCTTTAAGGAGTGGTTGGAAGAAGAAACAAATAGTAAAATAACTGTGTCTTATTTTATTGTTGAATTTAAGTGCTGGATTTGTCATGAGATTCAGTCCATAAGTGAACCCCTGGTCCATGCAAGGTCAGGTTTCAGTACTCCATAAGATACCTGAATCTGCAATAAAAATAATTGATCCTACCTTTGGTGGTTCTTTTTCAAACACCAGGACACAAATGCACACATTGGCAAATGGCTTCTGTTAGAGATTTTCCTCCTGATTTCTTCCAAAGAGTCCAAGGGGAATAGTGTGTCAGAACAAGACCTTCACACAACAGACTGAAGAATAATTCCCACATAGACTGCTTATTTGTGCTCTGTGAAGCAAGGAGAATTTCTCCCTTGATATTTCTGATAATGGACATGTTTAATTGCAGGGGGAAAACAAGAAAAGAACTCACAGTGAATAGTATTTTCAGAAGGGAATTAGACAACGATGTGCAGTGTCCATGTTTAATGGGCCTACACTGCACTGAGTGGAAGCCACAGTATACAGACTTAGGGTTGGGTCCAACCTGATCTTCAGCTGCAGGAAGAAAAGAAAGAAATTGTTCCCTTTGACCACCCAAAAAAGCTCTGCTGCGGATCATGGAACCTACATGCTTGAGCAATTACTCGGTTCGGTTATGTCAAAGGTGGATGTTTTGTTCTTGTTAGATTTCATGCCTACAGGGCCTAAGTGTTGTCTCAACTGTATTATGGAGTACATATCTCGCTTCATGTATGTGATCCAAACACAGAGGGGGTAGAGGCTTGATTCCTCAGAGCTATTCTGTGGTGATGAGCCTCACAGTGGAATTATGTCTATTAACAGCTATTGTGAGGATTGCAGCCATAATACTAACATCTATCTGACTATTTGCCACAGAGATCCATCCTCTAGTTTTGTCTTTTTAGTACTGAAAGATGCAGGCTTTATATCAAAAGATGGCAGTCATCTGTGCTACTGACATCTGAAGGCCAGAAGGTCTTAGGGTGCAAAAAGACATGTGTTTCAATAAATAAATGCTATTAAAAAAAACCCTACCCTGTCCTTAATGAATGATTGCCAGTCTGTTTAGACTGGCAGCATTTTGTACAAGTGAAGTTTTGTGGGGGAATTTCAAGATGCCAGCCTTTTCAGATCCAAACCAAACATGCTGGGAGTCATTCAGTGCCAGCCAAACAGACTGAGTTATTAGCTCACATTTGATCATCATATTTGAACTCAGTGAGTTTACACAGGAGTCTGTTTACCTGTAAGGGTCTGTTTACCTGTCCCCCCTTCCAGCATGGCAAGAGTGATTCACATGTGTTTTCAAATATATCAAGCAAATGGCCAGCAAGGGGGAGAGAAATTCAGCCAAGTTTGTACACCACATTGACTACAAAACTAAACACAACTCACCTGCCAAGTTTGGTGGTCCATAAGCTACCTGTTCTGACTACCTATGCAGAGTACAAAACACAACCACAGGGAGATTGCCAAGCTACAGGACAAGGTGGGTGCACTTTGCTCACCTTGGTTGCTTACCAATTATGTGATTTGATACAACAGGGATTTGACCTCTTTCAGACAACCTCAGACAACAATAGACTGCAGTCAGTCTCAATGTACTTTGGGGCTATCTTTTTTGTTGGCCAATGATAGGCTGTTTATCTGCCCCTTGGCTTCCACATAATAGGTGGGATCTGGCCAGTTTTGGATCCAATCTTGCCTAATTTCTCTCCTTATTACAGATCCCATTCCAAATGGCTTTTGTTCATGCAGTCTTGTGATCCCCAGTACCCACCATTTGGGGTGATCCTGTTTTTCCCAGCAAAAAAGCTGATTAGATAAAGTCTATTACCTGTAAAAAATATGGGTTACATTGTTATCACGTCTGCACATGTTGCAATGTATATAATGTACAACAAAGCAAGAAGAAAATATATGTCACACACCCAATGGATATACTTTGCCATATGGATGAAGAGTTTCTATCAAGTGGGTTAGACACAAGCTGTTGCAACATCCTGTGTGACACATCTGCAAAAAATTTGGGGGGGAGGAGCATTAACAGTTTTGAAAAGCCATCATTATTAGCTTGCCTGGTAGTAACACCTCACATAAAATGCTTTTCCTGTTCTAGGCAATGCTTTGGCTGAATGGTAGAACACCTGAGTTGCATACAGAAGGTCTCAGGTTCAATCACTGGCATCTCTAATTAAAGAATCTCAGGTAGTAGATCTTGGTGAAAAACCTAGAATGCCACTGATATAATAAACACTTTGAGATTTAGAGACCAATGTGGTGATCATATGTTCAACTTCATCAGACTGACCATTAACTAGAGCTCAGTTCAGACAACTGTGTCCATAGCTGAGAGTCATAGTTAGTGAAGTGGCCTGCATTTAGACACTCACGCTAATCACAGTTAGTTTAATTAAAGAGTGTTTGTTTCAGAACCATCACGGCCTATATAGTATTAGTGCCCTGATGGTTCTGAATATGGTGCTCATCAGTGATGAGGACTGAATTGGGGGGGGGGGCATGAATCCTGCTTATGATCTTGCAGAGTTGAAGTGACCTGTGTGCAGGTGTAATGTCCCTGGTATTGATGGCAGTGACATTACATCACTGGCGACAACAGCAGTGAGCCAACAGACTATGTGGGTTGTATCGTGTACAGTAATCAAACAGTGAGCACGAGGTTGCATATTTTTATTGTTTGATGCATTACCATGGATAAAACAACAACGTGACCAGTTCTAATGTAACATTCATTTATCATTAGTAACTAGGGTTGCCAGGTTCCTCCTGGCCACTGGCAGGAGATGTAGCATAGGGTTGCCAGATCCAGGTTGGTAACTCCTACATCTCTGGGCATGGAGACTGGGGAGGACAAGGACCTCAGTGGGACACAATGCCATGGAATCCACCCTCCAGAACATCCATCTTCTCCAAGGGAACTGACCTCTGTAGCCTGGAGATGAGCTGTGATTCCGGGGGATCCCCAGGTCCTACCTGGAGGCTGGCATTCCTATTAATAATGCTACAAAGTTTTTGCCAATATTAAGTGCCTGTGTAATAGGTTTAATTTCACACACAAAAATACAAGCAGTGGAAGCATTCTAGAAGCCTTCTGGTGTCGTGATTCCTGAGTATAGTATGACTGGATCAGCTGGCCACATTTCCTGGGTGACCCACATTAGTAGGAAGTGCTTCCAGCCTATTGTTTTCTGTGGGCTGGATTCAATGTTGCACATATGCAGCAATTAATGGATGAAAGGATTATGGCTGTCTCCGGTGCTCCCTCCTTGAAAGCAGGTAAGTAGGTAGATATAACACTTGAGGGGGAGGAGGATTGATATACACAGCAGAGAGATCAGAAATTGTTCATTGATAGGTGAAATTGACAGTGACCCTCATTTCCTGCATCTGTAAGAATGCACCTGTTGTGTCCTGTTGGTTCTAGACAAGGTTTACTTTGGTCCCTGCCACACGGCAGGGAATTAGGTGCTAGTACCGCGGCTAAAGTGAGCCGCGGCAAAGTTGGGACGGCGCGGCGGGATCTCACAGATCCCCCGAGCCGCGTCGCAACGCTCCCCGGCACGATCAGATGCCGGGGAGAACGCAGCGGTGGGAAGGGGAGCCTGGCGAACTGCGCATGCTCACACATGCGCAGTTCGGCCAGGAGCCGGGGATGCGCCGGCGCAAGGACGCGCCGGCGATCCCACGGCCAGCGTTGCTGCGGCCCT